GGGACCACGTGGTCCTGTCTCACCTGATCCTTCTTGAGCGTGATCTGCCCGATCTCCCGGTTGCCCACGAAGGAGCGCGTCACCTTGTGCACCCGCTCACCTGCCCGCACCCGGATGATGAAGTTTGGAGGGAAGTAGCCGATTTTTTCACCTATCTTCCCCTGAAAGAAGTCAGGACGGGCAGGAGGTGGAGGTTGGATCCTGCCCACGTGACCCCCCGATGACCAACAGCCACAGCATGTCGCTGAATGCAGCAGGTTTTGGGGGCTGTGCCCCCCCTGGAGTGCAGTCTGCACCCCCAGCTGGCCTCTGGCTCTGCCCGTGTAACACCCGCCTTACCCGCCACCACTCCTCGTTGGAGTCATCGACTACTGTGATCTTCTCCCCTGGCCTGCAAAGGGAAGGAAGGGCTCAGGGGGGTGGGGGGCAGGAACTCCCCTCCACGAGAGCCCCCGCGGTTGGTGAGGAGAGCTGCTCTTCCCACAGCACCAGCTCCTAGAGCCCTGTGTCGAGGGGGGTCAAGGAAGGCACCAGCCTGTGGGCTCAGGGACAGCGGGGTCCTGCAGATCAGCAGCTCAGCCCCGAGACTGGTGTGTAGGAAATCAGTGGGACCACATCCAGACAAACAAGAGCAGCCTTGGAAATGTGGCTTGTGCCCAAAACCTGGGAGCTGGGAGAGCTGGCTCAGCAAGAGCCAGGGCCCCCGCTTGATGTGACCCACTGGGGCAGGTAGAAGAGCCACAAAACCCAAACCACAGCCAGCACGGCTCCAGCTTCGGCCCTCATTCATCCATTCACAGACTGCTCCCCATTTTTGGGGTGAAAACTTTTCCTCCTCCCCACTGCACACCCCATGTCCTTCCCATCACCCCCCTGTGCCCTCTACACGGCTGGGAACTCACGGGAAATCCAGGTCATCTTTCTCCAGGGCTTTGAAGCGATACAGTGCCACAAAATAGTGAGACTGCAGAAAGCCACCTGGCTGTGGCTTCTTGCTCTGCAGGAGGAGGACAGAGGGGGTCAGGGCCCCAGAAAGGCTGAGGACAGCCCCAGGGAGCCCAGCAGGGAGACTCCTGCAGCCTCTGGCTATGCTGCTCCGAGGCCCAGGGCCCTCGGGATGCAGGGTGAGGATGGCGGCTACCTTGTCATCTGTTGGGCTCTTCTCAGCCTTCTTGTCCCCTTCAGAGGTGCCTGGAAATGGAAGGGTTGGGTGTTAATCTCTCCGGGTGCTGCCTCCGTGCCCCAGGACCAGCCTCCTCCTGAGGATCTCCTGTGTCAACGAGGGCAAGCCGAGAGAGCCCCAGGGTGGAGACCTGAATGGAAGACTCCCTTTCTGCAAGGCAAACCCCGCCCCCGTGGGCCCCCTCAAGCACAGTCTCCTCGTCAGGCCCTCTCCCTGCCCCATGCCTGGAGCTCAGCAGCCCCTGGCTCCTCGGCCCTCACACGTGGTTGGAGCACTCACCGCCCTCGGGCTTGCCCGCTTGTTTCCTCATCCATCATAGCAGCCAAAGGCTGAAGGCACAGAGCTGTCAGGGGGTGCAGAGCGGGCAGGGAGGTGGGGGTGGCAATGGGGTGTGGGCTGGGGTGCCAGGACCCTCGGGCAGGCAGGAACGACGGGCCAGTCCCAGACTCACATTTTTCTTGTCGTCCTGCCCTTTCTTGCGCTCCTTGTTGGCCATGATGACGCCGGTCCGCAGGGTCTCGAACACGGGGTCGCTCCGGTTGGCCGCTGCTGGGGCAGGGGGACAGTGAGGGGGGTTCAGCTCCAGGAGGCAAGGAGCTGGGGCACCCCGCCGTGGGGACCGCACTCACAGAGGGGGCGCTACGCAC